TCGGCAGGTAGCCCCGGTGTCGGTGCCCTCCCAGCCGCTGGTGACGTTAGGAAACTGGCGCATCCCTTTGGCTGCTGACGGAGGCACCTTCAGTGACGATCTTGGGGAAGCGTCCACGGGGGGCGACCAAGCAGCCACCAGGCCACATGGGGGAGAGACACAATCATGTTTATTATATATGGGGCAGGGACTGGCTTTGGGCCTCTGTGGTGGGGCAGCTGCTCCACACTGGCCAAGAAAGGTTCGTTAGGAAACTGGCGCATCCCTTTGGCTGCTGACGGAGGCACCTTCAGTGACGATCTTGGGGAAGCGTCCACGGGGGGCGACCAAGCAGCCACCAGGCCACATGGGGGAGAGACACAATCATGTTTATTATATATGGGGCAGGGACTGGCTTTGGGCCTCTGTGGTGGGGCAGCTGCTCCACACTGGCCAAGAAAGGTTCAAGCAGGCTAAGGAAAGCTGCACAGAGCTTGGCCAATCAGAGAAGGGCTTAGAAGAACCAATCAGGGTGTAGCTTGGGGGAGCTGCCCTGTATAAAAGGAGCTGCCCAGCAGCAAGGAAGTAGTCCGGCCTTGGCCAGGGAAGGAGCAGGGTCTGTGATCTAGGGGCGCAGGGCTGGGCAGGCTCAGTGGGGCTAGAGTCTCCAGCCTGATCCCTGTGGGGCTGCGGCCTTGTGACAAGGCCAGGAGGCTGCAAAGGGTCACCGGGGAAGTGGCCCAGAACAAGAGGCAGAGGGGGCAGGAAGAGGCTGCAGCCAGAGGGTCCCTGGCTTGGGTCCCCTTTTCCCCCAGGCCTGGCCCAGGCTCGTGGGTCACTGCAGCAAGGTGGGCCTAGGGGACTGGGGTTCCCTGGAAGAGGAGGACCCCAGAGTGCAGGGGAACTGCTGTGGGGCAGTATTGCGAGGGAAGGGCACCATGGGTCGGGAGGTAACCGAGGGTGAGACACCGACCAGCAAAAGGTGCTCCAAGACTGAAGAGCCAATTCCCTGAGTGACCAGCAGGAGGCGCTGCAGCGGTGAGTCCCACGCGTGCCAGTCTGTGTTGTACAGCGCTCGGGCACTACGGTAACACACTTCATCCTCCTAATTAGCGATAAGTGGCAGGAGGAGGAAGCGCTGCTCTGCTAGGTCTCCTCCCCTGCTTTCTACGAGTACCGAATTCTCGAGGAGTCATTGCATTGGGGTTTATTGCATCCCTGTGGATTTTCTGCTGCAATTGTCCCTTGTCCCTACCGGGTGGGATGCGACAGAGATAGTTAGAAACAAAGCTCAGCTCAATGCCCGTTCCTGCCCCGCACACCTTCCTAGGAGCTCAGCAGCAGAATCATTTATATTCTTATTAAAGGTGGCCAGGACTTTTTCAACCAAATGTCATTTTTCCTCAGAAAAACCAAAACTCTCTGTGGGCCAGGGGCCAGTTTGGAGAACGAGGAAACGCCCGGTCTGTTTCTCAGTTCAAACCTGGTTTTTTTAGAAGCTTAAGTTGATTTAAGGCCAAGAAAAAAAACTCTTCTGTGGACCTGATCCCATTTATTAATTCTATTTCCTATTTCTGTTCTTGAGACACTTCGGAGAGTTTGACTTTTCATTCCCATTTGGCGCGGGGAAATGATTCAAAAAAATTCTCATATGTAAACTGGTTTTCCGACCAGCTACAGTGATAACATCTTTGAAAGTGCCCCTCCCCATCGGATCTGGGCAGGTCCAGCCCCTTTACATCGACCATGCCTGGGGTGATGGTGGGGGCAGTGGGATATCCTGGTTGCTGCGGTGGTCTCCATGGCGGAAGTGAGACGAGTGCCAGCCTGAGCTTTGTTTCTGCTACATCGTAGCCCGCAGTAACGTGAGCTGGAAGAGATCTCCTGCCTGTGGCGCCCGGCTGCTTTGCATTGGCACTGGGAGGGTAGGCGCGGAGCGGCTGGCATGGGGACTGCTGCCTCCCACTGCCCTACTTTCTGCAGTCGGGTTTGCGAAGGCACCAGACCATGCCCGAGCCGTCTCCAGTCCTCCCCCAGGCTGGCAGCCTCCTTGCTGTGACTGCAGGAGCCAGGGAGCGGGGTGTGTGTGTCTGTGTGTGTGTGTGTGGAGCCAGGGAGCGGGGGGTGTGTGTGTGTGTGTGTGTGTGGAGCCAGGGAGCGGGGTGTGTGTGTGTGTCTGTGTGTGTGTGTGTGTGTG